AGGCAGCTGTGCAGAACAAATGTCAGCTGGGTAGGGGAGCTGGCAGCACAGCGTAAAAGGGACTTCAACATGGGTCGGTCTGTGCTGAATTAAAATGCCACTGTTGGGGAGGCTCCACACGCAGTCAGGGCTGTGAGGGCAAATCCCCTGAAGTTTTCCTTCTCATTTTCCTTATTTCCCCAGTGACTGCTTCCACTGGTGCAGTATACCAGCCTCCACATCTGCCACCCTTCTACCTGCCTGTCCTGTCTCATGGCTACACATTATTGTAAAATGACTCCTTTTTGCCAGATCAACAAAACTGACACCACCACTCTTAAATCATGCCCTGGTAACTCCCTACAGTTCCACTTAACTGAGGTTTTAGGAACCCGTTTTTTACTTTGAGGGGCCATATTGTAAGATGCAGGGTTCTCTGACTTGGCACCCCTGGCATTTGGGGCTGGATAATTCTTTGGGGTGGGGGGCCTTACCCTGTGCAAGACCTCTGGGTTATATCTACTAGATGACAGTAGTATCCCCCCTGCCCAATCCAGGTTATGATGATCAAAAAGGTTTCCAGAACTGGACAAATGTCCCCTGGGAGTGAAATCACTCCCAATGGAGAACAACTTGTGTCATGAATAAGGAGCTGGCCTCTGGAGTCAGACCCCCTGGGTTCAAATCGCTTCTTCCACTCACCAGCAGCTTGGCCGTGAGCAAGGCACTTCACCGCCCTGTGCCTGTTTCCCCACTTCTGAAGTATGAGTGTGGCGGTGCCCACCTCAGGGAGTTATGTGGGGAGAAAAGAAGTTACATAAGGAAAGCATTCAGAACAGTGCTGGGCACAGCCCAGAAGATACACGGGCTGAGAGCTTATACTCTTATGTTCTGCACTAGAGAAGTTAATGGCAGGATCTACACTCAAGCCACCTGAGCAGTGAAGAATTAACCTTACCCAAAGAGGAGTCTAGGCTTTGCCTTGTGCTCCTGGAAACCATCCCTGGGCCCCTAGAAAGCTCTACCTGACAGAGGTGTCCTTGCTTGCCTGGGAGTTTTGACCAGAAACAGTCTAAATATGATTTACAATGTGGACTTAGGGCCACGCTGTATCAGTTCTGCCTACAGAGGGGCTGGAAATTACAGGTGTCTGACCAGCTTCCATAAGGCTGGAGACTAGAGGTCAACCACGCAGGCGGTATGTGACTGAGTGAAAACTCTGGACACAGAAGAGTCAGCTGACCTTCCTGGGCAGGCAATACTCTGTGCACAGTGCCACCTATGCATGGAGAGGAGCTCCATCCATGACTGCAGAGAGAGAGGTCAATGAGAGCTCCACATTTGCTAGTTTTCCCAGACACTTCCCTTGGCTGATGTTCACCTCTAGTCTTTCTTTGTAATAAACCCTAACTGTGAGTGTAACAGCTTTCAGTGAGTTCTGTGAATCCTTCTAAGAAGTTACCAAACCTCAGGGTGGTCTTGGGAACCCTGAACTTGCCATTGGTGTCAGCAGTGAGGGTGGCGGTATGTGGCTGCCCCCTCTGTCTGTGCACCTCCTCACCGCAACAATGTCAATTTAACCATCTCCTACTGGGAACCACTCTTTGAGCACAATTCCTTAAGCACAGTGAACCTACTGTGACACTTAGAGAAGGCTAGTGCTCACTGAGGGGTCTATATTAAAAGATACCAGGCTTACGGCTAATGTGACAGAATCACTTCATTTTAAATCTGCATGCCTGTTGGATGGGGCAGCCATGGCCAAGGGGGTTGGGCAGCAGTTCAAGCTCCAGTGAAGGAATGGGGCCCAAAGTGGCCCTTTTCTAAAAAGAAGTATGAGCAGGCCCACAGAGTGAGGTAGACGCCCCACCCACACCCCTAACATAGGAAGAGTGACCAAAAATAGCTGCAACCTGCCTGGCTGTGACCTTTTCTGAGCAGCAAGCAGACATAGCTATGTTCCAGAAACTTGCCCAAGCCCCAAGCGGGGCTGACCCTGCAATGTCAACTAGCCTGAGGCTCCACGTACAACCTAGCTCTGTCGAGGGGCCTGGCAACATAATGAAGGCGACCCCCCAGGGCAGAGGCAGAAAATCCCACTCAACCGGAGCTTGGAAACCACAATGTCAAAACACACAGGAATGACTAGTGCTGACACATTTAGCCAAAAAAACCAACATCTGTGAGAAATCAATCTTGAGAAAATGGAATTGAAAAATGACTATGAAATAAGTATGTTCAATATGCTTAATGAGATTTTTTTAAGCCAGTGGGCAGCATCGATATAACCAAAATGTATGCCATAAAACCAAAAGATAGGCAAAAACAGAACATGTGAATAAAAAAAAAAATCCAACAACAATAAACATGGAGATGACCAAATAAAGTCATCCACTAATGGAGACACCGAGTGAGCAGCCATGAGTGCCTTCCATCAGCAGGCCACTCTTGTCGGTACAAAGACACAACCGTAAAAAGACAGTCACTGCCTAAGAGTTTATATTCTCACAGGGGATACAGTCCATGGACAAAGAAAGGGAAATGAAATATGATTTGGGGTGCTGTAAATCACTGTCAGTGCTGTGGGAAACAAGCAGGCTGAGGGTGTCACTCAGTGGGGTGGCAACCGGAGGTCAAAGACTGCTGCTCTGAGACAGGGACCCATGAGGTCAATGAAGGTAGCACAGGAGCCACACAACATGTGGAAGAAGGACACTCTAGGCAGATGGGAGGTCCTTATCTTGATTAACTGGTTCTCTTAAAATGCAAATAATCATACAACAAACATTGAATTTCTAGCAAAATTATTGGTAATCCAATTATGTTGAGAAAAGCTCCGATGCCATCCACACCCTGTTCATCACTTCTGCAGGGGGAGTCCTGGCTAATGCACTTAGACAATATAATGTGTAAGAACAAAGTGAGCTTGGAATTTGAAAGTGAGAAAAAGGTTAATTATCTGGAGATGATTCATACTGTCTATATAAATAAACTGAGACCCTCAGATAAACTAACAGAGCTAATGAGTTCACCATAACAAATGAACATAAAAAAGAGCAATACCCTTATACATAGATATTAAATAGAAAAGGGAATAAGAAAAAAAAAACCCTTTTATAAAGCCACCAAAAATTATAGAGACTGAGGAACAAATCTAGGAACATTATTACTGATTTCATGAAGAGAAGAAGTCTTTGAAGGACATCAAATAAAACCAAAATTATTGGAGAGACATGCTATGCCATCCTACGGAAAGACTCAACACAAAGAACAAAAAAAGAGGACATCTCTGGATGTTTTATATACTATCCTTTTATTATTTCCTAATTGTTAAATATCTTTCAAAGCTAAAAATATGAAATGCCACAGAATTTAAATCTGGAGTTTGCACTGAACATGAGAAGCTGATTCTGTTATTCATATAGAAAGTAAGCTAAGAAAAACTCTAAACAACAGGAAACAGAAGAACATGGAGGGGATACTTTGCTCTTCCAGAAAGTAGGGCTTCTTATAAAGCTATGTGGTATATCCTTAAACCAAGGTAGCACTGGTGCAAGCAGAGACCAGTAGGTCCATGCCACAGGCCAGCAAACCAATGCTCTTAAGACACCTCCTTCTCCTGTTCTGTGTGCGTCAGTGGTAAGGTGGGAGGGACTGTGGATCACGTGCACCAGCTGAGGCAGTCGGGTGAGACCAGAGGACAGGGCCTGTGAAGACGAGAGGCAGGGCTGAGGCAGGGAAGGAACTGGTCCAAGCATGGAAGTGTGTGCCTGCCTTCCAAGGGGCTTGAATGAGAGGGTGATAATGAGACTGTGGCGGAAGCTTCCCTGACCCCTGGGGCCTCTTCAGGGAACTGCAGGGAGGGAAAGTGGTGCCATGGATTCTTCTGTCCACTAGGACAGTGCCTTCTAGAGCCAGAGAGGCCAACCTGGGTTCAAATACTCCAGTCCTCTCCCTTTGCAGAAGAAACTGAGGTCCAAGCATGACGATGGCCTGGCTGAGGTCATGGGACAACAGAACCCACTGGAAACCTCATCCAGGGCTCTATCCCACTAAGGCGCATTGTCATGCCCTGCCCCTTGCCCTGACACTTGACCCCTGTTGTCTCTCCCCTTCCTGAATCTCTCTTCTCCCTTGATCTCCACAGCAATTCTCCCTCACTGTTCTCTGCTCCCACAAATGTCTCCTCCTCTATCCATTCCTGCCTCCTCTTCCTCTCCTATTCCATCTCTTGAGTCCTCACCAAGTCTGTGATGACCCTCTTGGTGCTTAGTTCACGCTTTCCCTAGGTGGCTACAAATCCCATGGCTTTGATTGCAAGCTGGAAGCTAGTAACTTGTACATCATATCTGCTGCCCAGACTTGTCTGTGCCCTGGACCACACACTGTTTAATCTAACAGTCAATGGGCCACATCCAGGTGGTGGTGGTGGTCCATTCATCAGACCACAGCCTCCTAAAGACCTAACCTCCTTCAGATGGAGCCATATTCTAAGCTGAGAGCCTCATCAGATTCAACACAAACAACTAATGAGTTTCCCGACATGTATGAAAACAATCTTACTGTTGTGATGTATTCATGTTGATACACAATTCAATATCACAGAAGTCTGTCTATAAGGAGAAAGGTCCGGTGACTGAGAAAGATTTCAAAGGCAACTACCAGTCTTTGAGAATTAGAGGCACAAGGTAAGGCTCCCATCCCAGAGCTCTGGATCTTGGAATAATAGGAAACTCAAGGAACCAAGAGAAGATGGAAATACTGAAACATGTTAACCTAGACTTAGCCATCTAAAACCAGTGACAAGTGAGATCCAGGCCCTTACCCTGCCTGCCAGCAGGTCTGATGAGTTAAAATGGGCATCAAGTGACTTCAGGCATGAGATTACTGCAAAGATGACTATGTCAAATGACTTTCTTCTAAAGGTCTCTTGTTTCCAGTTTAGGGCCAAGTTTACAGAATTAAGTATGTCACAAATCAGAGCACAAAAAGAAAATTTAAAAACAATTTGAATACCTTACCTGGTCCCAGGGAGAGATGGTGCCTCCAAAACACATGAACAGGTAGCCCATGGCCACGAGACAGATCCATATCACCACAGAGAAAAGGCGGAGCAGCTTCTTAAACACAGACTCAATGCAGACGAGGATGAATATCGCAAAGAAAATCGCCAGCGCAGTGGGAACCGTTATTAAAAACGCCACATGGTCTTCAACTTCCTAACAGAAAAAAAATATTGCAAGGTACAATTTAGAAAAACCATGGAAGCAATGATTTATGTTACCAAAATGTTATCAACATTCATCAGTATCAAAATATATTGGGTTTTAAGAATTATTTCAGTAGAATGTTTAAACTTTTGAAAATGTAATTTTCCTGTTAAAAAGCCATGTTTTTGCCATATAAATATTCCTTATTCACTATTTAAAGCATGCAAAAGAGCTATGTCATCAAATTTAAATTTTCCCTGAACAATGGAGAAATGAATTTTATTAAAAAGTGAATGCAAGAACATATAATATCCAGATAAAATAAGACAACCAACTTCACTGCCTGCATCACAGGATTTGAGAAATGGCCTGACCACAGAAAATGAAGGCGCCCAAATAATTTGAAATATTTTATTTTAAGAAAACCTAAAAACTATCTCAGTCTCTAAAGTGATGAGCTTTAATTTTAATGCATGGCAATTAATATTTCAACAGGATCATAGGTTAATAGAAAAGGGACAGAAAGCACTAAAGATAGAAGATGAGAGAGCAGGAAATAGAAGAATGAGCCATTTTGCTAGTTTCCTTCTCCATCTCTCTTGGGCTCGGGTTGCAAAAGGAAAATGGGCATTTATTAATTGCCTCTGTTAATGCATGATTTTAAAATCCACACTTGCTCACTAACCCTCATCTTCCAGGTATCTCTTTCTAGCCCCTTCCCAAAGGCACACTATTTCAATTCTACCCAATTCAACACAATGTAAGAGACATCATGTTTCCTTTGATTACACAAGCATGGGTTTAGGCTTTAGCTTCTGCAAAACACTATGCTGGAAACTTCCTAAGAAAATCATGCACTATGGAGGAAACAGAGTTCAAGGTCTTTAATCCTCCTTCAACATGTTTCATTACCAAAACACCCAAAGGAATTCCAATAAAAAAATCCACATGGCTGGGGCCCTAAGGACTTCCCCACTGAAGTTTTAGAATATTAAAAGTTACAGTCAAAGCTGGGAGTTACAGAGCAGCTCCTCGAGCCTGGTGAGGCCCTCCCCTTTTCTAGCTGCTTTCAGGTTCACTCATCCCGTTAGCAGATACCGCTTCACATTGGAGATGGCTCCATCCAGATATCAAGCCAATAACCACCAGGAAATGGAGAAGCATGGCAGATCAGCCAAATAACACACCAAGTCCAGGTAAACATGGAGAGGGAAGAAAGGAATCCAGGCCTACCCTCGATGACTTCATTTCCCCTTCTCTCTTTCACAGTTCTATGTGTATCATGTGATACTCGAGAACATAGCAGCAATAACAACAACCATAGCAAATACTAATAGATAGATTTTTGTACTAAGCACTCTTACCTATACTGATCTTTTAAATACTTGCGACAACCCCATGATGGGGCACTGGTGTCAGCAATTCTCTATAGGGGAGAAAACCAAGGCACCAAGAATGAAAATGAGTTGCCATGGGTTAACCAAACCCGTGAGGGAGAGAGAACTAGAGCTCAGCCCAGGGATCTGGCTGGGGGTCCATGCCAGCCACCACGGCAATACTCTGCCTTCTGGTTGTACAGAGACGGCGAGCTACACCAAGAGGGCCCGCCCTGGAGAGGCCAAAAGAATGTACGTTTCCAAGACTGGAGGAGGCAAGAGGATTAACTGTGATGTTCTTATTCTCCCCCTCATTGCTATTTTTGTCCACGATTAAGTGTCTAAGTTGTACTCTTACCCACAGACACGTGTTACAATCATTGCAAAAGGGTATCGGATATCCACCAGACTGCCAATGCTCCCCTGAACTCAGACACCGCGCACCAACGTGAGCATGGACAGGACAGCACACCTTCTGGGCATATCAAATTGGAGATTATGATCGCTACACCCAGGGAGCCCTGCAAACCCATTTTATTTTAAACTTCCCAAAATGAACTTAACTGAGCTACGGACAGAATGCTAACCAGGGAATAACCAGGACAGCTGTTTGCCCAGTACGCCTTTTCACTTATTTCATTAACCCAGTAGGGGAGACACCATGATGGGTTTTATGGCTCTTACTTCTTCAGAAAGGCTGAAAATGGTATGAGAATGTGCATAACTGTTAAGTGAAAATGAGTAGGTAAAGGAACTGACAGGTTGTGATGGAGTCCTTCCAGGAAGTGAAGGGCACACCGAATTACCTGTAGGTATTTTTCCTGCATTTCTCTTTTAAAAGATCTAACTGTGAACATGACAAGGCCCACTGGCCTACTGCCCTGGGTACAGTATAAGACTAGATATTGTGCTCGGCTTAAAATATTGCAGTCTTGGCCTCATTTTTTTTTCAGCGTCAGGGTCTTCATCACTGAGAAGTGACCTGTCTAGGCTGCAGGATGACCTCTGCATTAGATACAGTATATCCAGTGACTAGGTCCCATCATATTTTTAGGGACCCAAAGAAGTGCTTTAATTTCTTAAGGAACTAAAAAACCCAGGCTGTTAGGGTCAAAGGTCACATCCACCTTCATGCTAACACACTTGTACACTATAATATTAGATGTATTTTTAGGGAGGAAGGGGTGTAGGAAAGCCTCTCAGTCATAATGTGATGCTGGGAGGCTGGTGATATACCCCTCCCTGCTCACCAGATGCCTCACATTACCAACGCAATTCCCAAGGATAACCTTCCTTGAGCTCCGAACAGTGTCCCCCACCTCTGTGGGTGACAGGATTCGCAGATGGCCAACGGCTGCAGACAGGCAGCAGCTGCTCATGGGGCCATGGCCCTGACCACTGTAAACCCCAAGCTCTCAGGAAGCAGGGGCTCCTCCTGAAAGAGAACCACCATCAATGTAGCATTCATGTGCCTCTGACCTCTAACTCCAAGCAAGTTTGAATATAGACTTCTCCACAAAATAGGATCTTTTAGAAGAGTGTCAAGGAAAAAACAGTAGAGCGTTCATTTAAAAATGTATAAGCTTATAAACTACATTCTTTCCTAGACTCGCTGTTGGCAACACGCATTTTTCTTAAGGCTGAGTAAACTGAATAAAGGAATGCCCTCAGACCTGGAATGACACAGGCCTCCGCCCGCTCCCACTCCGTTCCCAGTGGACTGAAAGATGGATGAAGCCACAGGGCACACCCCACGGCTGTTTTCTTCTGGAGCTAGCTGAGTTTTCAAAATTCAGAGTATAAAACAAACAGAGTTACTTAAAATAAAGTGAGCTAAAACATTCAAAACACTGTCAATCTAAGTAAATATGTTTATGTACCTCAACCCCGTCTCCCTTCATGCAAAAAAAAAAAAAAAGATATAATACAAACTAAATGAAAGGTACTAAGTTGCCTTTATTAGTAGCAACATGTACTAAAATATCTTTAAAATTTGACTTTAAAATGGTAAAAAATTACCATAAAACACAAACTAAATGAAATGTACTAAAATACCTCTAAAAGGGAGATGTCAAGCATGGTATCGTCTACTGTAATGATAATGGGTTCCTATCACTCTCTTTGAACATATTATCCTTCCTTTTTCAATGCATTTTCTGGTAATTTTGGATGGCTCCTAATTGCTAGGCCTATTAAATACCCATCGCTTTTATTTATTATGTGACGGCTCCTTTATTTCTTAGAGGCTTTTTCATGGAGCAACAGATTATCTGTATTTTCATTCTTTTCCATGTGCATTTTTCATTTTTTGTAAACAGAACAATTTTCATTTAGATGGTAAAGGGCAGTCTGATGTAAAACACTGCTTTTCTATGAAAAGATATTTTACTGAAGTGCTTTGAAGTCCCAAGACTGCAAATAGAAACCAGTTCCCATTACTTACGGCTGTGTCTCAGGGTGAATGCTGTACCTCTGCTATGCCCTCACAAGGACAGCAGTATGGACACCGCATAGGCACTGGGTGTTGTAGCCCGTGGCCATGCCATGAATAACAGGGACTATGCTGTGCTGAGCAGCACTTCCATTTTTCTTCAAATCTCACAACTGTTCCACCAAGGCTAGCCTGACTTTTCATTAATGGATTGATGCTCATTTTTCATTCTAAATAATAATTTACTTTATTACCACAAATTATTTTGAACATTTGTCACTGGGCAAAAAGAAATCAGCCTTTAGCTATGATATATATCTGATTTCAGGTTTGTGTATGCAGATATAGTATTGTTATTCATTCATATATGTGTGTATGATATAATAGAGAATATATTTTTCATTTTTTTCTATATATGTAGTCGTATTGTAAATTTCATGAGGTGTGAAAGGAATAAAAATTCTGATTTAAAAATTCTACATAGCCATGATGAAATAAGTTTAAAAAAAAGATCTCAATAAATGGAGTAGTCCATGTACCCAAACAGGAAAACAGTATTGTCAAGATGTCAATTCTTCCCAAATTAATCTAGACATTTAATGTAATCCCAGTAAAAAATCCCAGCAAGTTACTGTATAGCTATGAACACACTGATTTTAAAGCTTATATAAAGAGTCAAAAAGAGCCAACCCAATGTCAAAGACAAGAACAGAGCTGAAGGACTAACACTACCTGAATTTAAGACTTACTAGAAAATTACAATAATCAGGATGGGGTGGTGTTGGCAGAAGAAGTGATAAATAGATCAATGGAACAGAACAGGCACACACAAATGTAGTCAACAGATATTTGACAAAAGGAACAAGGACAACTCAAAGAAGAAAGGATAGTCTTTTCAGCAAAAGATCATGAAACAACTAAGTAGATATCCACATGCCAAAAAAAGTCAATCAAGACACATACTTTACACCTTCCCCACAAATTAACTCAAACTGGATCAGAGATCTAAAGGTAAAATGCAAAAATAATTCTGAAAAACTCTGAAAGCCTCCTTATACCTAAACCTTCGTCAATTTATCATGCTAAAGAATCCACAACATAGAAATATTTTTGAAATAAACCCACAAATTATATGTGTGTGAAAGATGAACAAGTTTCCACCTGCTTATTGTACAAATGACTTGTTTACACACATACAAATA